AATAACCAGTCCCCTCGATTAACTATGGTGTAACTTAAGTCTTGCGCGCTTCAAAATGAAATTGCTGCTGTGGATGTATCTTAAATTCAAAATAATGTAAAACATTTTAAATAAAGCACAATTTGAGTTTATTATGTCAGATTAAAAGTTGTTGTTGAGTTTGTAGTATGGCCTGGCTAACCTGTTTTACATGCACAAAATATTGATAAAAAAGAACCACTTCCTGGAGTTAAGATACTTGTCTCAAGAACATAGGGATGAAGTATTATTTAAAAATCTTTGAGGAGTAAGTGCTCTCTTTTGAGATCTTTACTTACTCATTTTGAAAAAAATAGTTCTTACTATGAGAAACCTCAGTCACCTTAAGGTAAGGACTCTGCTATCAGTTTTAAGCAGTATTTGTCACTCACTGTCAGTGCACATTCCTTGTTTTGAGAACTGATAATTACACTCATTTTGAGTGATATCAATCCTTATCTTTCGAATTTCCTGTTCCTCACTCAAGGACGCATTTTTAAGAAAAAATCCTTAATTCAAGGTATCTGTAAACATACAAACTTAACAGTGGACCAATAACATACGCATACACAGTGCGAGTGACACCATTGAAGAAACAGCATATTGATTGATTGAACTTATGCCTGAGCTTCCTTCGGTGCAGTTCCCACTTGTGAACCACTTTCCAACGTCGATACAGCTCCAGGAATACCAAACAAGCCTCAAACAAGTCACTTTACGGGCAGTTGGCCGTGAGCGATACTTCAGTCAATATCGGACTGTCGGCGGGCAGCGACTCGAGTCGTTTGAGCTCGCAGTTGAAATTATCAAAAGATCAGCGTTTTAAAAGTAAAATTTATAGTTAGATAAAGTTCCATAGCTATTTTTTCAATGTGCGTCGGTGGTCTTACGGTAAAAAGCAGTGAGGTAGATCTCAGGTTGGCGATGTAGGCGGCTCAAAGCCGCCGCACGCGAACAAATTTTGCGTTTTGCTTAACTTCCTTTCTTTGTTTTCTTTGTTTTCTTTTTTGGACACAATAATCATTTTCCTGGATAGATACATATAAAATTAGAAGCATTGACGCCATAAATGAAATATACGCTGCAAGAGTGTATTCGGAGATTGGGCAAACTTTAATTAATTCACAAATGAAAAGCATATATTTTTTTACTTTTTCAAGATTATCATTGGCTTCTTTTTCACCCCAACACTATTCTTAGCAACTAAGGTCGCCATTTCGTTTGTTTATCACTCGCCAAAAACTATCAAATGCAGTCAAAAGCCTAAACTAGAAAAAAGTTTACAGGAATCGACCAACCGAGCGAGCGAGCGAGCGAGCGAGCGCCATTCATCACATCATACCTACAACTCGCTCTTGCGCATGTGCGCAATTCACGAGTTAAAAAGCGGGATTGTATCGCGTTGTGATGATGATGATGGTTTATTAAAAACTACACACGGTGGCATAAAATTATGAATTACAGTTTGTTTACATATATATTACGGGAATAGATAAAATTACACTTGTTTTTGAGGGACTGGGATTACAGGCTATTATAAATAATTTACAATTCAGAGGGAAATAAAATACTATAACAGAGATAACTAGACCTTATGATTAGTTAATTTTCGCCATTGTTGGGAAAAAACTAGAACCAAAGCAATTTGTTCTATACTGAAAACGGCTAGAACTGCTACTACTCCTAAGGTGGTA